GAGTAAAAACTAGAAACTTTTAGAAGCTTTTTCCGGAGCTTTCAGTCTCATCTCACAGCCTTCACCTGCTGATGAGGACATGACGTGCGGCTGAAAGCTCCGGAAAAATGCTGATGAAGAGCTACTGTGTAAATCGGATTCACAGCCGACATGCTCAGATGTTATTTAAAGTGCCAAAAGGCTAAATATAAGCTTTAATAATATCTGCAGTGTGTTACACACACAGCGTTCAGAGATGAATATAAACTGCACCTTTAACCTGAAGGGCGTAGCTTTTGTTTCATTATTTGGGGGGACACATATCAAGTGGGGGCTGTAGGGTCTTACCCAAAGAAATTTAAGTCCCAACACTTAATTTCCTGCACTCTGGTGAATTTTTATGCACCAATTTGTGTGTTTTCTGCATCAGCTTATGGTGGAGGAAATGTCACAGTACTTCCTAATTTAACTGTGCATATTTTAATTTTTTTTCCCCAGATGATTGATGTTCATTTATTTCTGCTTTAGAAACAGTTATCTTTTTTAATACTCTTTATTTGTCAAGATAATAATCCCTTACAGCAGTTGGGTTACTTCTCAAAGAAAAAAAAGGAAGTGCCAGTCTTTGCAATAGCTGTTGTACACCAGCTGTGCATAGTTGCTTCATCTTGTTGTCCATTTTATGGCAGTAGCAACCATTGCTTTTCAAGTTGCATACTGTCAACACCTACTTAGAGGTGAAAGTCCTATGCTACAATCATGTTTTTGTTAGGGTGTACAGATGCACATGCTCAAAATATTGAGGGGGATGTGTCCCCTAAACATTCGGCCCAAAATCTACACCTATGTTATTTATGATCCTCGTGTTTCTGGCAGTGTGTACATTTGGTTTCTGCACCTTATTTAAAATCCTTTCTGTTAATATTATGTTTTATTTGCAGCACAACAATTTCCCTGTGTATAAGTTAAGTTCCATCTTATCCTATTTCTTGAAATAAACACGTATTATTTTCTTTCTTTTCATGAGTTAGATGAGAGGATTTAAAACCTCTCTCATGTCTGTGCATTAGGTACAGAGCTGCAGACAGGCTGTGGTTAGCCTAGCTTAGCATAAAGACTGGATTCAGATGAAAACGGCTAACCTTGCGCCATCCAAAGGTCAAAGATGCTCCGAGCAGCACCTCTAAAGGCTAATTTATGCTCAGCGTTAGATACAGACACAGATGATTCCTTCTGCTCGAACCCTGCGTTTATTTGTTCATATTGTGCACATTCCTGAAAGCTGACAGGTACAGACGAAACAGAGCACTACCACTGGAGATTGTGGAGGCAGTGTAGTGTAGTTCAAGCAGGATACGACCACAGGAGACAAAAAAGACTTTGGTGGTATTTAATGACATCAAACCACCCCCGTCTGCAACACTGCCTTCAGTAAAAGGTACATACTCACTAATTCACCTTTGATAACCTCCTTTTAAATAAGTTTTCTTATAGTTTCTGTTGAGTCAAAAATATCTAGACAAATGAACATTTTATTCTTCACACTACTATAAGGAAAGGTCCTGCAGACTTACAGCAAGTCATTAAACACAGAGCTCCCAGTGGTGAAGACTGTACTTGAACTGGTTTGAGCAGTTTCCAGGTTAAGTCGAGGATGGTGGAGAATTCAGCCTGTAAAATTTTTCCCATTTACTCGACCGTGAGCCTGTGTCACATTTAGTGGTTTTTAAATGACTGTAATATGGTTTAATTTACTTCTATCCATCATGGTGTAAAAGTAGCCGTCACTCTCTCAAACTGCGGATATTTAATTTTGGGAAAAGCAGAAAAAAAACAGCAACATTAACATCCTGTTCCTCTCAGCCGCTCTGCTCTGTGGGAGTTTTGTGTGCAGATAATAATCTCTCATTATGTTGCTACAGTCAATTAACATCCATTACTGTCAGACTGCATCTCTGAGTAAATGTTGACACTTGCTAATTCCCAGCAAAACGCTGCTCGCCACATTTAACCTGGAAAAACACTGCAGAGGGCAGAGAGGACTTTTTTAGGAGACGACTGTGATCCTGCTCTTTCTCCCTCTGTCCTTTTTATTCACTTAAAGTTTTTCACTTTGTCAGAAACGTATACGTTCAAATGAAAAACAAAACAGTTCAGTGCATCAGACAGAGCTGCAGATCATTCTTTAAAAATAGTGTTTACTGGTTTTGTGTACATTTGGTTTTTGCACCTTTACTGACAATTTTGTTTCCTATATTCTTCTATTTTATTTTTTTGCACTCCTTCCTTCTTTGTACTGCTGCACAGCAATTTCCCTCGAAATAAATAAAGTCATGTCTCATCTCATCTGACACAGAGAGTTTTAGTTTAGTTTTTTTTGTTGTTGTTTTTTTTTTGTTTTGTTTTTTTTAAGTAGGGGAGACCGTAGTCTCGCCACCAGACAATCAGAGATCTCCGCCTTCTGATAGTCTGGGGACACTCCTTTCTAAAGTGTGTTTAACACACCGGAGAAAACGGCCGGCAACAAAGCAACGCCTCTTGCATTTTTGAAAAGGACACGCCTTCTCGGAAATGTGCGCTCCCCCTTTTCTTGTCCGCAAGGAAACAAACACACAGAGAGCTTGAAAATGGATGCCGAGAGATTTAACTCCATTTTATCAAACGTGTGCTCATCTGTGAAGAAAATATTTTCTCCAGCGGATGTCTTAGTTACAACATGATTGAGCTAACTGGAGTAGTTTCATGTCGTATCTGACAACGGGAGGCTTTTAACAGATGACGTCCTGATGTTAGCTTTGCTGCTAGTGTTAGCTGTCCCTGTCAGCTGCAGCCACTGATGCTTTCTAGACATCATGATTTCCCAAAACTGAATAAATACCACACATAGCAACACAAAACTGCTTTGCTAGCTCAATCATGTTGTAACTAAGATATCCGCTGGAAAAGATATTTTTTTCATGGACCGTTTAATGAGTTATTACCTATTACAGACATCGCTAACGGCTAACAGGGCTAACAGCTAACGGTTAGCCCAGCTAAACGTGCTCACAGAAATAGTAATGTTTGTTCATTCATTGTGTTTATAGACTTTACAAACATCAGATTAGTCTAAACGGTGATACAGTGATGTGAAAAATGTGATATATAGGCTATATATATATATATATATATATAGCTAAAAGCTCTGCTGGTTTTCTACCCGGAAGTATTTGTAAACAACAAGGCGATTCCCTCTATAGTCTGGTCAGACGGATAAGTCATGGCCTTGTAAAAGATTATGTTTGTTTCTTTTAGTTGGCAAGAATGTGTTGCCACAAACGCGACAAACATCCACTAACTTTGACGGCGTTTTCTGCGAGCACAGCTGAGCCATTTTGTACCGCTACACGTGTTTCTAGTGGGACTATGTTTACAAGCACAAGAGTTCAGTGAGCCACCGAAGGACCGCCCTGCAGATTTACTATTGGTTCTGCAACGTAGGGAGTTTTTTTAACTCTGAAATTGTATCTGCCCATCTAAACACAAAATCAGGGAGAAAGTCATCAGTCTTTAGTTATGCAAAGCGTCTAAAGACTGACTTGTGAGTCTAGGGAGACCGGGGTTAGTTGGCACACAGCTCATTCAACACGTTCTAATCCCAAACCATCACATACCGCCCCTGTCAGTGGACTCTCAACTCTACATATTACGTCCTCGGTATCCTCCTATGTCCGGGACACCGCAATCAAAACTAGGATGTCAACAGAAGCACTTGGGTTTAAACAAAACCATCATCACTTGGCTTTACATTCATACAGGCAGCGAACACGGGGCTCCCAGGTGTGTTGGGTGAAAGTATGGGCAGGACCTATCCTCCCCTCCCACCCACCCTATGGGTCTTCTCAGCTCCTTTTATTACGCTATTACAGGAAGTGTCTCAAACTGACGCCATCCAGCAGCAACTCATCCTCACTGTGACCTCATCACATGTCCATGTTTGGTCATGGACTTTCCACGTCCACATATGGCGTCCAAGGTACCCTGGGTGTGTTGGTTGTTGACGTTCTGGGATGCCGTGTCAACTTCAGCCTGTTACATGCATTGCCTGTTTTCAAAATACACTTCTGTTTTCACAGGAAATGTACAGTTTGCATACAGTCTCAAGTTTCAAAATAAAAGCACTACGTCGGTAGAACACAACTGATGTTTTACTGTCAACACAGCACATGCACATGGTTGGGTTTAGCAAAAAAGAACAGCTTTACAGACTTATGGGAAGCAAACACTGACCTCCTGGGTGAAAGTCAGTGGTTGTTGGACAATAAACAATAACGGCGTCCGTTTTCGATGACTTCAGAGCGAGACCGGAATGACGTAACATCCTGCCGTGACGTGTGCTGATCATAACACTGCAAAACGTTTTGTCCGTCTGCGTTACAAACTGATGCTGCTTGGCTGCATATCATACCGCTGCAAAAGGTGGCTTTGGTGTCTGTGTCTGCGCCGCCAAAATCTCTGACAACGTGGTGACATATGACGACCTTGTAATGAGAACGAGCTGGCTATTGTCTGGTCCTTTGAAAGTCACAGAAACAAAAATGGAACAGCACTCATTCTCTCTATCAAGACATCTGAAAGCTGTTGTAAAAACTTTTTTGGCGAGGGTGACATTTCAGTTTTATAGCATCATCATCATTTCTGTGGACTAAATGTGTTATAAAACCAGCCGAGCCGATGACCATAATTTCATCACAAAATAAATTTAAAAAGTTTTCTCCTAAAATATGTAAGAAGACACTTGAAACAGAGGCCTCGAGGAGAATAACTAATCACAATTTTAACAGAAATCACACTCAGTGTTAAAATGTACAAAGTATTAAAATCAGTGACTGCATTCAGAGAGTAAACACAGAAATTTAAGTTTAAGAAAATAAAGGGTTATGTTTTTAAATCAATTGTTGCACAAGTATTTAATTACATATGAATGTATGTAGTTTGATCTAACAGGTGATAATCAGTGAAACATCCTTTTGTGTGTCCAGGCTGTGACATGTGTGCAGACAACAGGAACGGCGAGTGTCCGATGCACGGCCCTCTTCACTCTCTGCGTCGACTCGTCGGCACCAGCAGCACAGCGGCTCCCGTCACCCTGCCGGACGTCCCTGATTGGCTCAGAGACCTGCCCAGAGAGGTGAGACTTCCTGTCTGTCTGACTTTCACAACATCAGAGAACAATTTTCCTCCTTTTAACAAAGGAGTAAAGCGTTTGTTGTGCCGCTCAGATCCAGCCCACTTGTGACGGATGGTTTTTAGAGTTTATTCAGCTTAGAAGAAGAAGCAGAGTTTTCTCACCACATTAAGGAACACATCATCTTTCAGTGTGTCACAAATATTTAACATCAGCACATCAGGAGATACGTGGTTTTCACTGGATAGGACGGGGAGGAAAAACATCTGAAAGTAACTAAAGCTGTCAGACAAATGTAGTGCAGTAAAAGTACAATATTTACCTCTGAGATGATGATGATGATGAGGAGGAGGAGGAGGAGGAGGAGGAGAAAGTAGTGTAAAATGGAGATACTCAAGTAAAATGCAAGTATCTGGAATTTGTACCTCAGTACAGTACTTGAGTGAGTGTGAGTGCAGCATCGCCTCTGATTCTGAACAGCCGCCTCATGCAGAGAAATAAGTTGTGTAAATAGAAATGTGTGCACAGGATAAGAGTGTTTTATTGACCTGTGTGTGTGTATTGTGTGTGTGTGTGTGTGTGTGTGTGTGTGTGTGTGCGCAGGTGTGTCTGTGCACCAGTACCGTTCCCGGTCTTGGTTACGGGATCTGCGCGGCTCAGAGGATCCCTCAGGGGACCTGGATCGGCCCGTTTCAGGGAGTCCCTCTGCTGCTCGACAAACTGCATCCAGCAGCTGTCAGAAACAGCCGACACCTGTGGGAGGTGAGTGTGTGGACTTATGGGTACTGTAGTTTACATGCTGATGAGTGCTGGTGTCCAGACTGCGTCATGGTGTTGTTAGTATGTACGATGAGCAGGAAGTTGTAAACCTTCGACCCTGTCAGTGTTAATGGCTTCATGCTGAGGAGCTGAATCCCTGTGAGGAGGATAACAGTGTGTGTGTGTGTGTGTGTGTGTGTGTGTGAGGTGCTTCACACACTCCTGAGGTGGTGGAATATGTGTAAGGTGTGTCTGTGTGACGTGAGAACTGCTTTGATTTTCCTTCACACTTTTCAGTTTTACCAGATTTTTTTGTAGAACTTTTTGCGACAAACTAGTTTCATGTTTTTAAATATGCTTTTGGACAAAATGGACGCCAGTGAAATGTGTTTAGTATCAGTGGCGTACGGACGGCCCCGGTGCACATTATTATGATGGGCCCTAGTGTCATTTTGCATCTAAACTAGCTACGACCTGAAACTGGACAATATCAACAAATCTAAATGTGACAAAAATACCAAATAAAAAGAGAAAGTATTCATTCAGTTACACATGTTTATAGTTTATTTGTTATTTAATAGTTTATGTAAAGTAAACATATAATTTTATTGTAGAATGGATTGCTACTGACTCTTTCACCCAAAAAAAAAAAGAAACTATGATGGAGCTGGCTTTGCCTTTACGACAGCATATACACCAGTTGGCTCCACTTTTTTAATTTAACGTGAGTTCTTTGAACATGGGTGTAACTCTGAGTCGGGCCAACACACTGCTGGAGGACCTGCTCTCTCTACGGGCCCCCCTGTACCATGGGCCCCTGTGCAACCGCACTGCCTGCACTGTCTATATTTACTGTTTAGTGTCATTTGACCCAGAGTGAAGACAGACGGTTTTAACATGCTACTACTTAACTTGCACATTTCCATTTTCTGCTACTTATAACTTTTACTCCGCTACATCTCAGAGGAGAAAGTCGTACTTTTTAGTGCACTACATTTATTTATTATTACTTTCTATATGAATACAAAAACAAACAAACAAAAACAAACAAACAATATGTTTATATTATATGATGCAGTGCAGATCTACCCAGGAGTTTACAAAGTATTTCAATTAGGCTTCAGTTTTTGGTTTTTGTGCTTTTTCCATTTTTCCGCTTTTTGACATAAAAAAGTTGAATTTCATCGCTGTCCGATGAAAAACATGTATCTCCACTTTTGACGATTTTGACTTTCTACGTGCTTTGATGGACACTTCTGACACCCAGTTCAGATACGTGTTGAATAGATGATGTAATAAAACGTCTTTCCATTGGTCATTTGGATACCCAACGCTAACGGACACTCCATGCACTGTAGAAAGACAAAATCGTCGAAAGTGGAGATACGTGTTTTTCATCAGACAGCGACGATTTGTTACTTTTGATATTTAACTACATTTATTTCAGCAGTGACAGAAAGTAACTAAGTACATGTACTCAAGTACTGTTCTTTAGTGCAAGTTTGAAGTACTTCTGCTTTACTTGAGTATTTCCATTCTACGCTACTTTACAGTTTTTACTTCACGACATTTATCTGACACTGAAGTTACTTTTTACATAAAAACATATGATATGCTTATATGATATAATGCAGCACTGTACTAATTTAAGCCTATTTAAAATCGAAGTTTTTTAGTTTTCTATTCTTTGACATTTAAAAAATGACATTGACGTAATAACTACTGATACGCAACAGTGATGGAAAATAACAGAGTACATTTACTCGGATACTGTGCTGTAGAACAAGTTACTTGTACTTTACCTGTGTATTTCCATCCTTTGCTGCGTTATCCTTTTTACTCAATTACATTTACAAATACAGTAGTTACCAGTTACTTTTTACAAATGAAAAAACAAAACCACACAGTATGCTTATATGATATAATGCAGTGTTTTACTACTGATCTACACAGTAGTGTACAAAATATCTTTGATTGGTTCAACAGTCACAAACTATAAAAATGCTCTCACATGTATTCATCAGTGATAATAATATTCTATAATAATACTCTGCACATAATAATACTTTCACTTTGAGCGTCATGTTTTCCTTCCGTAAGATCTCAGGGTGGTTTATCATCGTGATGTTTTCTGGCATCAGACACTGACGACACTGTGACCTCACACCTGTTTCACCTTATAGTGTGATTAAAACTCTAATTCATTAGCTTTTATTTAAATAATCCTGTTCCACATGAAATCAGATTTACTGTCGTCACAACTTCACCCAAAGAATAATAAATCATCTTGCCACAAGTTCATGTCGCAGTCTTTCTGCACATTGTTCCGTCCATCACAGTTCTCTGAAAAACAAACAAACCTGCAACATTTTTATTTTTATTTATTCAATTATGTTTGAAGCCTTTACATTTGACACTGCAGCACCAGCTTCTGTTGTTTTACTCTTTAAGCTCGTGGCACATTAATGCAAGAAATTTAATTTATAACATTAAATATCGCCTCTTGTTTTTATGGGCATTTCTGGGATTTTATGCGAAACCTCTAAAGTAAAAGTGTGACTGTCGTGACAGTGGATCGTTTCCTGCCATTTTCACATCCAGGTATCGTTAATTTAATTGCTTATATTATTAGACATTATTGTTATATACTGCTGGAGGGTACTAATAAATATTTAAATAATGATAAATAATATTTAATATCTTAGTTGTTAAATTGCGAAAAGGTCTTAAAAGTCTTACATTTAATGCTGTGGTCTTTTGTTCATATAGTACATGTTTATGTTTACGTGTGTGTGTGTGTGTGTGTGTGTGTGAGCTTGTGGTCAGCGTCATGTCACCTCTCAGTCCATTGATCAGAGCAGATTGTATTTACATACAGTGGCAGGAGAAAGTCAATGTGGCAGTTATAAACAGCTGCATTAGCATTAGAGGGGGGGTGAGGGGGGGAGTGAAGGATGCTGGGAGACAGAACGAGGGAGTGAAGGATGCTGGGAGACAGAGAGATAGATGAGTCCCTCGTGGCCGAGCTGGTAAAGGTCAGTCAGACGTCGGTTGACCGGACATCAGTCTCTCGGCTGTTGACCACAGCAGGACGTCAGCGAGAGGAGGAGGAGGGAGGGGTGAGGATGGGTGGGGGGCGGGGCAGATGGGGGCTGAAGAGGGTCAGAGGTCAGAGGTCACGGGGGGAGGAGGACATGGCCAAGTCCAGCAGGAGCAGGGAACGCGTCACGTCAGGATTTGTTCTTCAAACAGAGAAAGCGTTGAGTTCACTTACAGCAGGATTTTACAGTTTTTAATTATTTTATCTGAAGCAGACTCTTCAGTGCTGAGACGTCTGAACAGTCCTCAGCGTCAGGGTTCAGAATACACGGAGCTACAAAGCGGAGGGCTCCTCTGAAGGAGAAATCTAGGCTGAGCTGTAGCCTCATTTTGGGTGCCAAAAAAATAGATATTTTCCTTTTTATTCAGCTTCCTGAGATAAATAAGAGACTAACAGTATTAATCATGCATATTTATTTACACATAACAATTTCTGATCATTTGTAGCAAACAAACACAGTGCTGTCTACCTCTGCTTTACATTACCCACCCTATGTCGTTTTTCAAAGGCTAAATATTCTCTGTATGAATCAAAATCTATTGATAGAATATTTCTGCACACACAGCACCTTCCTCTCAGCGTCACTCAAACACTCTTCACCACTTTCAGCTGTTACAGTCACTGTGAGACCGCAGCTAGTTTCTGTAATGTGACGTATAAGAGGCATGTGATCAATCTGTACTGGGACAAAGTTGTTGATATCTATGAGCTGATAATCAGGAGCAGCTTTATGTGATGAGTGTTACACTCGCCCCAAATCACATCTGATCGTCCCTGAGTTTGAGTGAAGTCATCAAAATCAATCAATTTTGATGTTTTACAAGACAAAAAAAGGGGAATTTTGATCTCAGAAAGTTTGTCTTTGACATTTGTACACTAAGAGATATCAGAACAATAAATACAAGGACACTGGATATGAACAGACAAAATGTTTTTTTAACCAAACCAACTGGCAGCACACATTTTGGCGCTGTACATTTCTGCATATGTAACATTTGTATATGAGTACTGTATGTTGGACCTTAATGTCTCAACAATGCTGTGGTTAACCCTTTGAAACCTGACATCACTTCCTGTGCTGCCTTCAGGCGTCTTTTGCAAGTGTTTAAACCTTTGAACCCTCCCTGAGCAAACTGGTGTGATTTCTTTCAAAAACATGGGAAACTGAGCATTTGGTACGAAATGTCTCACGAACTGCAGAAAAGTAATAGATTTAGAAAAATATGTAAGAAAAAAAATCTAGCAAGGGAAGAGCTATATTTACAATTACTGTTATGATTATTACATTTTAAATTATGTTACAGAATTATTTATAATTTCTAAGTACTTTTTTCCAGGTCATTTCCTTCTTTGTCTTTCTTTCTTTCTTGTTTTTAATTTTCTCTTTTTACTAATTTCTTACTACTTTTCTGGGACATTTCCTCTTTCGTTGCTCGTCGCCTTCTTCCGATGTTTTAAAAACTAAATCAAGTCAGTTTGCTCAGGTCTCAGAGGGTTAATGTGTCGTTATGTTTCGGCACAAAAACAACTTGGATATGATTAGGGATTAAAAAACATCTACTCGGTTTATTTGTATTTGTTGGTCTTGAACAGTCTGCAGCCTTCTCACCTCAGTGACACACCGTCCACCATCCCCTCCACCTCCTGATGACAAAGTCAGCTCATATACATGTGATCAGATCTACATTAATGTCAAACATATCGTATTTGTGGTTTGTAGAAACGTACGATGCCAAAAGTCTTTCTGCTGAATATGAAATATTTTCCACTTTCTACATATTATCACATATTTCTTAAAGTATAACTTTTTCCTCCTAAAATTTTAACTTTATTTTTGTAATATTACAAATTTATTCTCATAGTGTACAACTTTACTTTTCCCCCACGTCAACTTCTGGGTGGA